AATACTTTGCCCTCGAAGTGAATAAATCTGTCATACGTGTCATACACGTAATCGCTAACACAACAAATGGCAATATTAAACGCTCCAAGCTCGGTCCCAATCGTATGCTGGAAAGTTTCCCTCGGCTCTATTTCAGCAGCATCGCGTCGCAAATTCACGTACTTTCACGGCGCGATTGCGCCATCGCGGCGATTCCACGGCAAGGTTTTCGGCGGCGATTTACAACGACGGGAATGACAATGGCGTCGCAAAAAGTTGGCACGCGCAACAGCCGCGGGTAACGCGATTCTAACGGTACACCCCTGTGCGCTTTCAGCGTGGTCTACCAACCTACTGTGCCTACCTATCTGCCTACCTACTTACCTACCTACATACCTATACACATCCTTCGCTCTTTGTGGTGCCTAGGCCCGCATCGATCCCACTTATATGTATAACGCGTACATGACTATCGATCGCGCCGCCCCGACTTGCCTCGCCTCGCCTTCTTCCCTCTCGCATGGGGAAAAGGTGAAACGAAAAAAGCCCTCGGCCACCCCCGCCCACCTTCCATGTCGATCGCGATGAGGAACGTTAGATCCCGCCACCCTCATGTCACGTTGCACCTCGGTCGCATTATGTTTACATCGGTGTCGCAACGATGCCGGGGGTTGCTACCCTAAGCAGAACGTAAGCTATGTCGTAATATCTAGGCTGCTCATAATGGAGAATATAAGTTATTATTAACGGAGAGAAAATCTTAAATGAATTTTCTGATTTTGAATCGAGAGATTTCTAATCAAGCATATTATTTAAAACATAATTTGATTCGTTTTTTGGCAACGTCAATTGATCGTGAAACAAATACAATATTTACTTCTTATCTTAATTTTTTTAATGAAAAAATATTTCTCGCTAATGATTGATTATACCTTTCTAGGAAATTAATAAGTGTTTTACTATAATATATCCTCTTAACTCAACTGAAGCATCATTAATTTAACTTAAGCCTCAAATGAATAAGCCAATAATTGAAAAAGAAACAACACAATTTTCAGGAAAATTGACTTGTTTCTAAAATAAATAATTATTATTATTTACGATATAATTTTGAACATGAATCAAACTGGTGCGTGGAACTTTAAAAAGCGCCGATAATTATTATTTGGCAGTCCTGCATTTATCTGTTTTTTTTATTTTAATTACAAATTTTGCAGCAACAATTATTTATAATAACTAAATAAAATTATAATAATAAATAATATTAATTCTTAAATGTATAAGTAGAACAATGATAGTATAATAATGATTAGCTCTGCCTCTCGCATCATTTAAATTGTACATATTTTAAGAATTAACATGTCTCTCTCTCTCTCTCTCTCTCTCTCTCTCTCTCTCTCTCTCTCTCTCTCAAATGTTGAAAGGAAACAACATGTATAATAATTTGTACCGGAACCTATAATAACGGAATTTCGTGTTGATAGGCGAAATACTGATGAAACTCTCAATTCCGACTCCGAAACCGCAATGTCCTCGACCGTTCGAGCCATCGCTCTTTTATGTCCGGTTTTAAGCCACATGGGTCATTGACAGTGGATGCGCGTAAATAACTGTAATTTGTCGTTTCCATCGCACAGAGATAACCGGTACAAAATTACGTCACAGTCTTTTACCAAACTCGCGCGATTCCACGCCCATATAATCGGTAAAATGGTGAAAATTCACAATAACAGTATCATGCCATAATAATATATGATTGTCCTATTACGTTACATCATATTATATCATTCTTAATTAATGCATTTATTTAGTTTGCATATTTTAGGAATTTTTACTTAGATTAAGCTTGTGAAAAAATGATAAGACATGTCTTTCTGATGTCATATTTTATGTTAATGAATTGGAAAGCTATGTTTTAATTATTTTTTATTACATACCTTTGTAATGACTATAGAGAAAAAAGCATTCAACTGAAAATGAATTATGGAATCTCTTTAATATTTCGCAACATATTTGCGAAGATTAGACTTGCAATTGTAATAATTCAATTTAACCTGATTCTTTTAATTCAGTCATAATTTCTATAGTAATTTAATATTAATATTTTTTTTAATTACATAACAATTTCAAATGATAAATAGTAAATAGTAAGATAAGAAAAGATTATTTATTTTTTAATTAAAAAAATATAAATGATTGAGAAATTATTGTTTAACTATCCGCATTTATATCTTAAATTTGAATAAATTTCATTCAATTTAGAGCCCCCGTCATTTAAATAATTTCATAATTTGAGATTATGATTGTTATTTAGATAATTCCGGATATTTAGAAATACCATGTTCGATTACATTGAAATTTGAACAATTCGAATCCGAACAATCGATAGTACTTTCGATTCGCGCAGACATAGCACCGGATGGGTTTTATATATCACAATTTCAAGAATTCTGGTTTTACTTTTTTTTAAACCAGATAATGGGGGATCAGATAATGGAGAACTTCTTCTCTTTCGTTCGGTCCGATCGATTCGATCGCGCCGCCGTCTTCCCACGTACCTGCGGAGAATCCGTCGTCTGGAATAATGCGCGAAACGACATAAACTTGAGTGGGAGGGAGTGAACGACCTAACGGTGCGATATCGAGTGTCGGACGCTTTTGTACAATCAAGAAAAGATTCTATATATGTAATTCGATTAGCGAGTGAAGATGAACTGTTATGCCAAAAAATGCTACCATGATTATGCAAATTTAAAATTTTGAATCAAGCTATCGTGCTGAATAAAGTTGCACCAATTGCTTACGATAAAATATAAAATTAGAAACACATATTTTATTCAAATTAAATATTGATTATTGAAATATTAATATGAGAAAACGCATAAAAAACTACACAAATGTGGAAATAGGAAAATTATTGACAGTAATCAGTTGAGAAAGAAAAATAAATAAGCAACAAAATGTTTATTTTGAAAAGAAAAATAATACCAGAGGAGAAAATATGTAAAAAGAAAAGACTGGAGCAAGATCAAAGAAGAGAAATTCTGTGTGGAACGGTGGTTAGAATTTATTTACTGCCATGACGATCGTTAGGTTTCTTTGAGCCATTTACATTATCAATTTATATCTCAGAAACTGTTTCGACTCTCGTTATTAGATTTTGACCACCTCTTTTCTGCCTCCTCTCATATCTCAGCGCATGATTCATTATGTTATAGACAAACGCTCGTTGAAAATATTCCACGCTTTTGCCAAGTTTTCCAGCAATTTTCCTAATTCATTTTCCTAATCATTTTAATTTATTCATAATTAACTTTACTTAAATATTAAAGTCATTAATTCAATTTTAACTCTTCTATTGTTATTACAAAACATTATGAAATTATTCCAAACATTTCTTTCCTGAATTTTAACTTCAAATAAAAATTAATTTTAAATATTCACTTTCATTATGTTACTCTGCGTATGATGTAATATACGTCTCTTCTTTTCAATAAGATGATAATAAAAGATGTATTTAATATCGAAACGCACAAAACTGGTGGAAAACTACTTTAAAGAAAGGAAAAAGATGGTATGATCATTACTCGAAATGAAGGTGAAGATACATTCGAGTGATGTGTTCGATATAATTTATGATCTTTACTCGCATAAATCACTAATGTCTTCTTGAAATTTTCATCAGCGTTTTGTTCCCGATAATCGAACACAGTCGAGTCCCGCTCTCTGCTCTAATGAAATCAAGATTCAGTAGATTAGACTTAATGATAGTAGGAATGACGACGACGACGCCTTTCTATTAAGCGAATAACACCTTGTCGCGGCGACGATGACAGCGGCATCCCTACCGATCGATCGCTTCTGAGATCGATCGTGGCGCGGTGAGTGCGTGCGCCATCCTGTAACCGGCCTCGCTGCTCATAGACAGAAAGTAAACGCTTTTATAACTCCCTCCCTATCTCCCCCTCCACCCCTTTGTCACGCATATGTGTTACATTTACGATGAAATCGTTCTTTATTATATTTATTAGCGCGCGACGAAGAGCTGACATAATCGGGACGCCGAGTAAAAAAACGTGCTTTAGACGAAGTCTTATTAATAATTTTGAAGATTTGCTCGTTACATGATTATTTTAATACATCTCAAAAAGATTGCTTAACTAAAAAAGCTTCATATAAATAATTTGTCTTTAAATTCAAATGAGATTTTATATAATGCATCTTTATGAATGATTCTTGTCAAAAAAAATTTGTAACTAACACGCGAACGTGGAGAGAAGCTTGTTACAATCGCGAAAATAATATTAGCAGCTATAAAGTGATATCAGCAGCTCTTTTTCATGTATGATTACGTTACAACGATGTAATGTAGCATATTGCACGTATCAGAACTTTTCAAGCTGAAGTCTCACTTCAAAAGCTCATATTTTTGTTACAAACATCCTGTCGCAGAGAATCACCCTTTATAATCAGGATCATTAACATCGAAAGGGCTAACACCTCGCGATCAGAGCGTCATCCGCGTCCGTGCGGAAGACTCCGGAAAGTATCGAAGGGAGCATGGGCCGCGGCTAGACCTACCCCAACGTGATCCTGTTTACAGCGACCCTACCACCCTTTTCCTCTCGCATCTCCTCAGTCACGACTTATCTGAAAACCCACCACCTTCCCTTCCGTTCTCACCCTTTCGCCTCATTCTTCCCTCCCGTTATGAGAGTTTCCTTACTCACGACGCGCCTTCTCTTCTTTCCTCCTCCCTCGCATCCCCTCCGCATTCCTTTCACCCTTCCTCACGCCTGTCTCCCACTTTATGCCCTGCGCGCTTAGCCCTCCTTACTATCGCGCTCACGCTTTCTTCGTCCCTCTCGCTCACTCTCTCCTCAACCGGCCCGCAAAACGCGAAAGACAGACAGAGAGACATTGGCAAGGAGGGAGGGAGGGGAAGAGAGAGAGGGAGCGAGAGGGCAAACGGTGGGGCTGGCTCTCTCCGGTCTTGCGCGACGCGCACCAGTCAACCCAGAGCCACGGTCGCGCGACAGCCACGGTGTCCGTTAAAGGGATCGTTCGCGGTCGACACAGTTCGCGATTTCTTTCAAGTGCCTCGCGAAATTTCTCCCTGTCCCTGTCATCCCGCGCAAACGCCCTTCATTCGACCCCTCGTGCGCCCGGTGCGTCTCGGAGTGATCCGCCAAGTGATCTCCCCCCCGATCAGCGCGCGCTGTCCGGCATCCGCGGAGTAACCGGCGTTCGCGAAGCGCAATCTCCCGAGATCCTCCCGCGCGTCGCCCAAGATCGCCGCAGTCACCCCCGCGTCCCCGCGTAAGGGACCGATGGCACGCGGCGAGCCGAGGCCCGTCCTCGCGGCTGCTTGGTCCGCGTGCGACCCTTACGCGCGGATAGTCGGGATGCGGTGGGACTGCTCGTGACTGTCCGCCCGAGAGTGCGCCAGTCGACGACGCCCCGCGTCGTGCACGTCCGGACGGACAGGGTCCATCGGAGTGCTCGTGATCGCCCGTAATCGTCATCTTGGTCTTCGTGTCGCGCGCGCCCCTGGACACTGTCGTGATCGCACGTCGTTCGTAATCCGGCGGTGCCGCGACGAGAGGGAAAAAGAGGAGTATCGACGTTTTCTCGTGCCGGCGCCGGGGTACCACCCCTTGCGCGCGGGAGGACAGTAGCGGCCGGCCCGCCGCGCGGCGCGTCAGTGAAAGTGAGTGATGCGAACGCGTTCGCCAACGTGGAGTAGAGGGAGAAGCGAGTGCGAGCAAGTGTCACCGCGACTTCTTCGGGGTTGCCCCCGCATTATTTTATGATACCTCGAGGCGCGTCCTCGAGGATCGCTGCGACGTTACGGAATTGTTCAGTTCGACGAACGACGACGACAGTGGTGGGTCGCGGGATAAAACGCACCCCTCCGATTCGTTTCGTGCCGATTCACCCTCTCTCTGGGGAGGAGGTGTTTCTCTTGGGAGGAGCAATGCGTCATAACGGTGCCAGACAGCGACGTAGAAATAGATCCTCTGGAGTAGAGTGCATTAGCTTTCGCATCAATGAAAACTTTATGCCATCGAATAGGGTTATACTATCTGTCCTCTGTACGAGAAACCATATCGAACAATCATTTTAGGAATAGAAATCTCAAAAGAGGGAAAACAAATATTTTTAATATTATTTCAATATAGTGATAAAATTAATTTCTTGTCGTATTTCTTATGTTCAGATAATTAACTGAATTGTGCAGATTATTTTGCTATTCACAATTTTATAAATATATATGAGGCCTCTCATATATTTTTGCTAAATATTCATACATTACATATTTTGCTAAACACGAATATCTGACTCTGGTTTGTAAATATTAAATTAACGCTATTACATTTAGCACTGGATAGTAGGACAGCCATATTTAGTACAAGGAATGCAATCAAGGCATAAGATTGATTTTTTTATTACGGGAAGATTCGAAATTTCGTGTAGCATCGTAAAAAAGTGTAATTTATTCCCCAATATCTTATAGAAACATGATGCAAATTCAATTAACGAGTCTTTTCTCTTAAAAAAATTCACTCTCCACTCATGAGAGCTTGTTGACGTTATAAAATATTAATGACGTGTTTTTCATTTTTACGTTATCGATCTCTTCTACGCTTCTCTTATTTTCTCATATCTTCAATCATCCACGGTTTCGCGATGTGTTTGTCTCTCTCGACAGACTCTCGTCTCTTTGCTTCTATCGCTTTTTCTCGCTCTCCCTCCCGTCTTCTCGCCCACTCCAGCATTTACCTCCCGGTTATGAATATTATTAAGTAATACCTACATCGCACGCACAGCGATACAGACGCGCGACTGTATGCATTTACATGTATGCGTGCACGCACACGCGCGCGCGCGTGTTGCACGCAGGCGAACAGAAAAGTGCGGGTTCTCATTCTGCAGATATATTGCATTCGCGAGATAACATAAAGAAATTTATTCCTTTCTGAATACAAATGGATACGAAGAAGAACTAGAAACTCTTGTGATATAATAACGAATTTTGTGTCTTTGTGCGTGTCTTAAATCAGGTGGGAATCAATATTAAAAATATGTGCATAAAAAGGATATCCGGCGCTTTTACGTAACTTTGAATTTTTATTACTTGGCGAATTTAATATCGCTTATCTTCTAAGGAAAATTTTTCATAAACGTTTTAATGTTAATTTTATTCTTCAATACTTTAAAAAAATTTCAATAGATATATTTATGAAATGTTTTTTTAGAAATATTTTTTTACTTTCAACTCTTTTTTTATCAAAAAAATAAAACTCTATTTATATTTTTGCTTTTTCTATCATGCACTTTGGGAAAAAACTCTTTTACATCAAGTCTTGAAAAATAAAGAAAAATTGAGGCCAATAATTGGTTCTTTTTCTTATTATTGATTTTTTAATGTAAATTTTATAAGCATCAGAAAGATTTGTAAGAAAGATCTATATTTAGTATTTTGAAAAGTGCCTGAATCGATATATGCGCAAAATTTATATGCGATATCAGCAGTACACGGAGTAATTTGTATGGTATAATCATAGAATGTATATTAGAAGATAGACTATATATATATATATATTCCCGTTGTTATCTATAACGGTGTCCTCGCGAAACGAGCGGAAGTATTCATGTGACGTGATGGGATGAAGACGATAAGAAACATAAAATTATAAAGTATTTTAAAGTGTTAGCTGACGTTAATGAAATCATGTTTCTTAAATAACGGTTAAACATATTGATGACTAAAATATCATTTAATAATTTAATAATTTTTGTAAATTTTTAATTAGTTTTCATAAATTTTTAGTAGCTTTATTTATTATGCCTTTTTTATCAAGTAAAGATCAGATTTGAAATTAAGCGAAGAATAAGAAATTCATTTATGAATAGTTCAGTTTTAAATAAATCCATAATTGTTCTTGCTTTAATTTGATGCAAATTTTCATAAAACATATTTGTTAATTTGTGAATGCATGTTATATATTTTAATTACCGTTCATATATATTACATGTCATTTGTCATACATGTGTATGATTTTATTTGTATAATTAAAAATGTGCGCGTATTATTTTTATCGTCTTCAAATCGCATGAAATCAATTATTTACATAGGATCAGGTCCGACAACTGTTTGATAGTTGCCTCCGCTGAATGTACGAAACAAGTAAAATACTCAATAAGTCACTTAGATCGAGACAGGTGGGGGATAAATATGAGTCGCGTGCACACGGTCAGGTCACCTGTGCATGTGTTTGTCTCTCTCTCTCTCTCTCTCTCTCTCTTTCTCTTTTTTTCTCTTTCTGTCTCCTTCTCTCTTTCTTGTCTTTTTCTCGTGATAATGGCGATGCCGTAATAACGACGCCGACATACTCGTGCCAGAACCGAAGTATACGCTCGATGTATACGACCTAAATAAGATGCGATGCCCCCCCAGGGCGAAAGTAATTCACACGCGCGAACAAGAGCTCGCACGCCCGCGCGCCGTACTTCACCGACTTTTAGTTCTTATTCGCGCTGCAGTTCTAAGATAATATTTGAAACTTTTCATTAGCATACATTACGACTTAAGTGAAAACAATCACGATCATTACCTCATTTTATTTATTTTGTTATATTAATTTAACATCGCGAAATATTATATATTTTTTATATTATTGAAGAGAAGAAGGTAATTGTAATATAAATATAAATAACATTTTAGAAAAAATAACGTTAATAATATTATTAATAATAATATTTTATCAAGAAAAATATACAATTAAATTTCACCTTGTTCTTCTAATATCTTCATATAATATGCACTATATTTTTCACATATAAAGATAAGTAAAGATAAAAGATACATACAAAGCAAATTAAAATTGTTAGCTATTCGTTGGACATAAAATATATATAATGACATTTATTATTGAAATTATAATTTTTCTGATCATTCAATTTGATCATGATAATTGAAATCATAATAATTGAGAAGCTTGAATGAAAATAAGAATTTATTAAAATAATTTATTAGTTAAAATTATTACGGTAAAATTATACAATAAATCGGATTTAAAGCAGCTTACATCCTTTTGCGATAGATTGGACAACGCGATCTTTTGCTAATCCAGGAAAATACGCGGTAGATCTAAAGCGAAGAACAGATAGAACGAAGGAGATAGAGATTGAGAGGGAGCATCGAGTCAGTAGGCTAGTGGGAACATAAACCGTACGTACGGTACCGCGAGCCCTCTTCCTCTTTCCCTCTATCTCTTGTACTTTCCGCCTTCCTTCCTCTTCTCTCGCAATTTTCTCCTTTCATTGTGGTCAGCGGACATCCACGTTCATATATAACGGTGATTTTAGTATTCTTGAGAATAGCGTTTCCCAAGCGGTTGTAAATCGAGAATTCTCTCTTCACAAGACTCACAAAATTATAATAATAATAATATCTCTTTCTAATTTATGAATAATATATAGCTGTTTAGATCTGCTTATTTCCTTAGATTATTGAACGCTATTACATTAATTATTAACAGCTGGATCTTTTGAGTCTGTAGATAAATCTCTTAAAAAAGTAAATTATATAAGTAAAGTATTTTTAATTTGCATATTTAAATCTTTACATTTTAATCTACTAATCCTCCTGAAATTGTTTGGTTTTCCGTCGTCAAAAATAAAACATTAAACATTTGGAACGTATAAACTGACATATCCTTTCGATAGATTAAAGATTCATTGCATAAAATTTGAATTGCACAAATAAAGTTGAATAAAATCAAGAATCAATCTTCCGATTTCGCTGCACGATCGGCGTGTACATTTTTTTGGGACACCCTGTATGGGTGGGTGGTTGGGAAACAGGCTCGCAAAGCTCGGCCGGTGGTCGCCGAGCTTCGCTCGATAGCGAAGCACGGTTCCCCTCGACGCGAGTTCTCCGCTGCTTGCAACGCGGTTGGGATTAAAGGGGAACCATCACGGTGCATGGAAATGCAGGATCGATGCGCCAGGAGTCGGCCTCTTTTTCACGAGATCGATCGTTCAAGATTAATGACGTGTCGTCAAGTTTTATATACTTGCCACTTAAATTCTTTACTTTTTTCAATCTTAAACAATCCTGTTTCAACTGCCTTTATTTAATAGCTATTTTTATCTTTTATATTTTTTGTAATCGAATGTTTGCAATCTTTAATTTTTAAATGCATTATAATGTGTATCTTTAGTACACATGTATTGATTTCCGAAAGCTTTTTGATTAAAGAATTGGCTATAAAATATTCTTGAAATCTTTATGCTCGAGAAATTGAAACAGAAAACACATATACATATATATATAAGTTGATTTTTGTATTTGCTGTTATTACCTCTTATCTAGATTGCATATCATAAAAGCGATTTTCGATTGCCTTTTTAGAAAGTTGATTCGAAAACTTTCGAAAGTATTACATAACGTCTTACAATTTAAATTTTGTGTCGGTGTTTCTACGAATTGATCATTTTATTCATCTGTAATTCGTCGCAATTTCCTCATGACGTATCTCTAGAGAATTTTCTTTTAATTGTCAATTTTGCGAATGTAGTTCGTTGTCTGGCGAAATTTTAATCTTCCTCCGTTCGAATTGAAATAGCACGAAACGATTCGATGGTGTGTCCGATCAAGCATGAGTTAATCTTATATTTGATGTTTTCAATCCTCTTTCGTTTTTCTCATACACTTATTGAAACTGTGGAAATAAAATGAAATTACATTAAATCAGAGATTTTTGCAACGGAGGTCTGATTATATCGGATTAATCTAAATGCATGTAAAAATATATCATGTTGAATTTTATGGAAAAATAAAATTAATAAAATTAAAGTAAGATAATAGCATAAAAAGAGAGGCAAAAAAATATGTAAAATGGATTAAAAATTAGAAATTCCACACAAAGTTTTTATTTGACATAATTTTTATCTGTATTAATTCCCAAGATCTAATTAATAAATAAATTTCACACAATGTATATAAGTTCATACAATGCAGTAAAGAGTCTGCTAATATTTTTAGTCACTTGCAAATTTCCATTAGCAACAAAATTACAAAGAGGCTATAAAACATCATATGTACGACAACTCTCGCATAATCGGCGCGATGACAACTTCCTTCCAGATCGAGAACTAGAAGGGAAATTCGACGGAGCCATGTCACGTCGTCGGGAGTTCGCGCGATTCCCGATGACAGCAACGACGGTTACGTGGACAACGGTTACGGAAAACGCGTCAACGATCGCGATAACAGCAAACGAAGTGAGCGCAACAACATTAACGACCACGACGAGTACTCGACTCGGCGTGCTACGACTTCGGGGCGATTAAGAGCGAATACCATCGTTACAATCATTAAGCCAACGACGATTTTTACGTACGAGGGGGTGAGTGATAGTACGCGATAAATCGTGTCACGTTGCACTATCATTGGGGTGGCGTGGAGGAGGCGGAGAAGGAGGGGGAGGAACAAGAAGAAGAAGAAGAAGAAGAAACAGAAAAAAGAAAAGGACGGAAATACAAACTTTATGACTGATGAATCGACCAATAGCATAGTAATCGCGAGTGCCGCTTCATAGTAGACAGATCGTCCTTTAAAGAGCAGTGGCGCATCGACCCTGTAACGGGAGCGAGAGGAATCTTCAGGGGGTTAACGCGGTTACGCGACCGCGAATGTTACATCGGGCCGGCAAAGGACGCCCGGTGATTCAACAGGGCATCAGCCTGGCAAACGTCGGCCCACGACACCGTCACCACGGCGTTCAACATGTTCGAGATGTGGAGCGCGGTGAGTTCCAAGCTGGAACACTCCGCGACCTCCTCAGGCTCGCCGTTGCCGTTGACCTCGCACGCGCCCCAAACACCGCACACCTCGTCGGGGAGCATAAAAGGTAAATGACTCGATTGCGAGATTAAAGTGGACGATACGATGGTTTATTTAAAAAATATTTAAACTTGTAAGATTCAGACAAATTACGAGTTAATCGATCGCTAAATGACTTTAATGTTCCTTTTTCCTATTTGCATCATAAATGAGATAATTTAGATGAGAATAGCGATCTGGGAATTATCTAACTTGAAATCTAGAGCTATCAACGGCCGTTAATCTTGATAGATTTTTCACTTAGTTTTAAGAAAATATTAATCAGATCAGATACGTAACATTATTAAAAGTAATGAATATTTATACATGTCTGTAAAATTTATAAAAGTCTGAAATATTTTAATTGATTTAATCTCGGGCATTTGAATTTCTAGATCTTAAAATTATATCGAGGCACAAAAACGAAATATTGGCATATTGAGATATTGGGATACTCGATCTTTACCCTTTATACTCATATATTATCTACATGACGAAATAGAACGCGATGTCTGATCGCTATTCGACGTGATTATAAAATCCCATTAATCACGCGTGCGCCGAACGTTGTAATAAATCTCTCGTTACACATCGCTTTGGCACATCCATTTGTGACTGGATTGTTCGCTTACGTTTTTAATATCCACTTATAAAACAACAGATAGTCAATACCAAATATTATCTCTTGTGAATTAATCAGCATACTAATCTATAACATAAAGTGGTGCGCTCGTCTAATAATATTTAAATTAATCGATGAAAATTATTCTCTAAAACGAAATAATACAAGAAATAAAAATAATAGAATATTAAAAATACAATATATTGTTTTAATATTATTATCACTAAAATATGAATTACATTTATTAATTGTCATCAGTTGCGAACATCGGTGCCAATGCAATTCGCCCGGTTTAAAAATATATTGATGCACGACTATCGTAATCGACACTCTATATGCATACTATTGCATACTATTATTAAGAATCTTGATTAGAATCGTAGCGTACGTATGATGATGCTTCTTTCATGTTTATTTAACTATTCAAATATAAAATAAATTTTGCTCATATATAAAAATTAAAAAAAGAAGGGAGAAAATATTAAATACATTTATTAAATTAATTTTTTTACCTAAATTAATTATTTTAATGCATTTGCTAAACATACAGAAACAAAAAAGTGAAGCAGAAGAGAAGATAGAGAAATTTATAATAGCAATACATTAACTTAATATTCCCATAATATATTTATGTGTATATGAGATTAATATGCTACATATATTTAACATATTAATTTAATATGCTGCGTATTATGATACATTATAACATCAGTATATAGGTTGTAATTAATTTATAATTATTACTATAGCGTGAACCAGTTTTGCAATGAAAATAGATCAGCAGTATTACCGTGAAAATAAATTTTAATCAAAATGTTCTGTAATGTAAATTTTAATCAATTCAGTATTATTTCCCCTTAAAATAGTTATAGAAATAGATTACTTTTATTTACATCTCTCGCTCGAGCGATATTTTGAGGTTGACAGGAGACGTGAAGGATAATAAATCTTAAAATAAATCTATTTATGGGGGCGACGCAAAATCTGCCGACAGACGATTCACCTCCTCTTCGCCAATATTACCAGCTGGCCTCACACGGGTATTCTTCTTACGGGGTTTTGCGCAACCCGTTCTTACGTGGATACTTTCGCTTTGCATAATTCGCTCGGCATCGTGCGTTTCGATCGAGTATTCGTATTCGGGACGACCACGAGGCTCAATATCGTAAACTTCCACACGTCTTTAGACATCTCGTAATAAGTATGAATTGTTCCTCTCTCTCTTTCTTCTTTTTTAGAATTTTTTTATTTCAATAATCTTTTATACATGCACGATCAATCGTGACTTTTTTTAAACTGATCCTCTTCAGAATATTTTGAATATTGAAGTTGCAAATTAAATCTTATATAAAATATTTAAGCAAAGTAAAAAATTCGAAAAAATAATGATTATAAGAAAATGTGGACTGTTGTTTTTACACTTAACGACTTCTTTAATAATATTAGATTATCTTGAATAATATTAGCTCCGTTTTCGTGTTAATTAAATTAACCTACTTTTTGTTTCACGGATTTCCAAAAAAATCAACTCCTGTGTCATAATATCAATATAGAATAATAATAGACAGATGCATAAATTAGGCAGATAGCGCACATAGTAATAATACTGCACTGATTTCATAATTAAAACCTTTGAACCATATGTATTATATATTGTTACCGATAATTATATTGTATATTGTCAATGGCAATTGATAGTAATTGATACAATAATGCGATTATCCAAAGAATATCTCTAATAAGAATGCAAATATATACATTGCATATATATTTCAAATAATATTATACACACAATAATATTATACACATCTCATAGTTTCATCGTCTTTTATTTATAATTGTTGTAAGTAATTATTTTATGAAAAATTTGATGACAATTAATTGATTATAATTAACAAATTTTATTATAATTAATATTAAATATTATTTCCTATATTTATAAACATTTAACATAAATTTTAGGTATGTTTTTAGATAATTTTCAATTTTTAAACTCTTTCGTATGTGTTAAAATAAAATGTATATTTATATGAACTATAAGCTATTTTAGTAATTTGACATTTTATGGAAAATATAAAAAAAGTCAAAAATATTAAAAAATATATTTCAAATTAATCAGAATTGACAGCAATTGCAGAGAATTTAACATAATGTGCGAAAAATATGCTAAAGAATTGAAGCTTTTTATAACTTTTAATGTAGAGAGCTATTTATAATATTTAATACCATCTTTAAAGATTATTTATAATCTTTAACAGAAAGTATAGAAAATCAATTGTGTGTGTAATACCTAAAATTCCATAGATATTAAATAAAAATATAATATAAAACAAATAATATTACTTTTAATAAATTATAATATAAATTATAACATAAAAGTTTTTTGTTAATTGGCTTTAATTATGATACGGACTAGAATTTTTAATTATATTGTGTAAAAAATGTATATTACAATTGTATGTTATAAAAAGCTTTAAAATAGTAAGAAAATCAAATATTTCTAATATTTTTAAAAATTTAAACACACTTTAACAAGAATCATTAAAGCATTCTCGACAAATTAATTCATATTTAATTAACGTAATCAAGATCAAAGCGTAATAGAATTATCAATTAATTAGAAAATTTCTTATACAGATAAATAACAAAAATTATGTTTTTTACTAATATCGCACTGATTTATAATGAACTAATGCTATTTCTAATTAAATGTAGTTAGATATCATGACTCATACTTTTGATCTATATTGAACATGATCACGAAAATCTTATATTCGATGTAAATTGTTACAGTGTGTTTAAATAATTAATCACTTAATACTTGCTTACACAACATTACACATAAATAATGCAAAGTAAAAATATGTTACAACTTTAATATAATATCGAGATATGTTAACTTTATATTATATTTCCATTATATTTTTTTCTTTACATTTGCGATATTTTTTATGAAAGATTTATTAGCGCCTGATATATATTTATCCAGGTATTTAAGAGAACCTTTTTTTTTTGACGAGTACTTTGATATTTATTTGATTCCTTAAGTGGTTAAGACGATGACGCGCGAAATGAGGGATCACGGCGAAACGACGATGGTGTACATCGACGATGATTTCGCAACGAAAAACCTTCGAACCGGTTCGTCCGCTCCGAAAATGCGCGCCACCGTTCACCGCACGAGTGTATCTCACGTGGCCATAGCTTTCACCTGCAAAAAATATCCTGGCCGATACCCGACGACGAAGTCAATCGAAAGTTCGTTGTCGTTGTCGTTGTCATCGATGTCTCACAACAACGCGTCACGTCGTCTTCGTCGAAATGGGGAGAGCGTCCTCCAACTTTTCCCTTTCGCGTCGTTGGGAATTTCAATGTAATGCCATCGTTCGCGAAGGGTTAGACAAACAGATTGATGGCAATTTTACGTGAAATCTAGGACAAGCCCCTTGAGAGCTATAAGTAAGATATTTACATGACTAAAGTGTGGCAATAAGCTATGATAAGTCGTAGAAAAAAAAAAGAAAAAACGATCAAAGAAAGAGAAATGCAAATACAAAGAGTAGCTATGTAGACACTCAAAGCATATAACTCCTTTGGCTTATTTGAGAAGCATCTAAGAGCACAAAGATAGGCCAATTAAAACCAATTAAAATCATTAAATAATAATATTGAAATGATTTTTTAAAATGCCAAATTATTATAAATAATAAATAATGACTGACATTTAATTATCATGAAATCGTTAAAAGTAACAATGTTATCATTGGCAATACCCACACATGCATATATTCATACATATATTATCTCATTTATTCAAACGTTTTAATTATCTCCTTGACCTAATAATTACACAGGCATATTCGCAAATGTACACGTGTACGTTAATTAATTCGTATGTACGTAAACGAATCGTCAATCAGTTAATCTCTCGATCAAAAGGCAGGAGATAACGTGAAGATGCGGATGAAGTTGCATTACGAAATAGGCGAAAGTGATAAAATAGTATTACTGACGGCAAAAAAAAAATAAAGAATGCATTCTTCTCGGTTGGAAGTTGTTTACAGCAATTATCTTGCGTTGCAAGTACTCGATTGCGCGTTTTTTATCTCGTAATAACGCGATGATAATTCGTCCGCGATGCGAAAGTCAATCGGCGACGCGTGGAGCGGAATCGCTCGCTATTATTATTTGAAATTGTACGCTGCTCTGCTAATAAAATATCATGGACTAATTTATTCCTGGAACGGCGCAATGAAATTTATTTCTATGTAACGTCGTCGTGCAAAGTACAATTATTCTCGATATAGCATTCACTGCGTTCTTGTTACCGACTTACGGTGAAATATTTTCTCGTCGTTTATTTTATGTAAGCGCTATTTAATATTTTATTCGCGTTACATTATAGC